CAATTGCGTTAAACCGCCTGCACACCTGCGCTGGGAATTATCACGTTATCCCGTTCCTATTATTCAATTGAAGTTTTCGTCTAGAGCGCAGTAACAGTGTTTCGGATCCGAAACAAGAACAGTTGCTGCTACTATCAACACACCTTGGACGTGGCTGACACTGTATTTAACAGAGGGAAATATACATGTCGAGGAATCGAATTGTCAGTACAATTATCTCTTAAGTACAGAGGGTCTGTGAATAAATGTTATGAACTTCAAGGGCATGAACAGGGGTCAAAAATGATCCTTTTTTGTAAGTGAAAATGAAGTGGGAAATTTCATATTAAGCGAGTCACACATGACATACGCCTGCTTTCCATGTAACTTCTTACGCAATTGTGTTTGGTAGGTCACTGTAAGACCCAGTTAAGGACATATCATGGACCTCATGAATATTTGTGCCCACTGGGTTGCCTAGATATTGGAAGTAGATACCACGTGTGTATCTCCAATATAAGAAATTTCCCTCGATGCATGTTTACTTTCGAAACGTTATTCTTTTCGATCTCTCTGTATGTCCTAGAATTCTGAAACAATTTATTTTGAAACACACTAAGGCGAACGCAAATTAAATGACAGATTATATTAGTTAGTCCTTTTCTTTATAGCCGGAACGCCTTTCCGTTTGTTCTACTCCCAATCGGTTGTCATCGGTAGGAGTAAGGAGGAGTTAGAAGGACTTTCGCGGTATCCCACCACCTTCAATCTGAGAACCCACGTAATTTCCTGAACTCCACGCCGAAGTTCACCTTTAATCGGTCCTTTACATACGAAGTATATTATGCCAGAGGGTTTGAGCCCATCTGAACGCTTTTAACTTTTTGCGAGTTGGACGCTAGATCCTGAGCACACACAGGTAAGAATACAGCACACTAGTTACCGAAAATGATTTGAAAAGGATTAAGGTTTAGCGGTAGCCCTTGAGGGATTCAAAATCTCCAATTCCACGAAACCAACTGAAACCACCTATGGTTAATTCGAACCTACCGCCCTTGTGTCGATGTTAAATGAACCTCCCTCCTTGCCCCGTGTCACAAGACCGACTCAATGACAGTTTATAATTTCTTAATACACCATATAGGTTGAGATACGCATGTCAAATGTTATTTAATATTTTTTAAATTTTATTTATTTCAACAATAACGTTTTAATATGCGTATTTTACGCTTTGATTTGAGATGCGTTGTATTCAAACAATAATTAGTTACTTAAATACGGTAGCAGAAGTCAAATTGAAAATAAGAAATTGGATTGCCTTGTTGATTTTGACCTCGTAATTTAATTAAATTAGATCTAACAAAATTATGAATTACTAAATGTGCGTTTAGGTCCAGTCATACTATAAAGCTTTCAAGCTGGGCAAATAAAAGGCTGTAACGGAGGCACTGTAACAACGAAGGATATTTTATTGACCTATCCCTTTGCTAACACTATTTCATCAAGAAATTAAATTATATGAGATTTTAATGCGCTAAACCCATCGCTTGGCTAGTCACTATTCCCATTTCATTACTACTCTCCTTCCATTAATTCGAGTTCAGCCTTCCTCGAACAGCTGTCTTTTACATTCTCTACCTCACACTCCCCGTTCCAACGACTCAACGTATCCCAGCCGGTGGCCAGAAGGTTCCAACACACTTCATTAGCAGGGAGTAACGGCCTGTCAAGAGTACCTTCTGTGCCCGGCCCGCACCGCATCCAATGCAAAGCCACGCCGGGACGGGGCGGAGCGGGCACCCTCTTCGACTCACCGCAGGACGGCGCCGCACCGGGTAGCGGGCGCCGGGGGCGTCGGCTCACTCACCTGGAACAGAACAGGCGAACTCCGTTTACGTAACCGCAGGCGCCGCGGGGCGCGCGTGCCCGGGATAATGCGGGTTAAGCCCCCGCACGCGCTCGACCGAAAATGATCCTGGAGGAGCAGTTTTGCCCGCCCCCGCCCGGCCCCCGAGCCCTCCCGTCTCCCACCGCCGGCGAGGCGAACGTACGTCTGGCTAGAGAGCCCGCACCGACATTAGCGTGAACATCTGCGCGGCGCAAAGGGGTTTCGTTCAAACGTAATGCAGAGTTAGTCGTACGAACAGTTGAGCCGCACGGATTATATCACTAATACTGCACTTTACTTCGATTAAACCATTATAGATTATAGAAACTCGGTCGAGATCTCTAGTTTTGGTATTGCAAGCAGATACTTTCCATTAATCTAAACCAGTGATCACAATGAGGATAAGGTAAAAATTTCAACTACGGTAGCATGTTACTTGTATAGGGAAAATAAATATGTATCCCTCGTTAATTTAAAGACTGTCGATCCGGATAACAGATCGCTAAGGCAATACTGTCGTCAAATCCTATTTTTATTTTAAAACAGAATGGAAAAAGTATACGAGTATTAACAATGGTACACGTGATATACACAATTTCTTTGAATTTTCCATAAAATGAAACTACTGCACTCTGTGTGTCATCATAAGTTCACAAATTGAACTGCAACGTTTATTTTATTGAACGCAAGTGGTCAAAACGAAAAACTGAGACATGTAAGAGGCTTACTATATTGCGTGTGATGGAAATCATTTTTACCACGTACAGTAACTCTTAAAATGAAAATGCATTTTTAATTTGAAGTACGGAATGAAAAAAATGCAAGTTTGGGCTAAATATTACTATAGTAAATTATACTCATAATTAAACATTTTCTCGACTTGTATTTAAAGTGATATCAATTATGGCTTACCATTAATCAGTAACAATAAAAATAAATTCAACATTAACTTGCAAACGCTTCTTAGCATTAATGACAACAGAGGGACACATTGATAAATACCGTTTTCAAATAATCTACTGACTATATTCATACATTTTGAAGGAAATGAAACAAAGTGTGTGAATGATTATATCTACAACAATGGCGAGACTTGCAGAGTAGACTGATGCAAAAATACGGTAGTTTGACGATTATTCACACAAAGGCAATACAGCTTCGGTGACCAGATTCAAATACAAACGATAAATCCAACTTCAATGCGTCGGCGCAAACAATTCAGCGTCCAATTGAATAGATACAATAGCGTATTCAAGTGAGCGTATGTTCACTCAAATACCAATATCTCCCAGGATAATGGAAGAATTGTAATTGAACACGCTCCGGAAGAAAAGCTTCGTTTTAGTAGATGAAATGAAGTTTCTACATTCAGTCCTGTCAGGATAATTGTACCTAATCTTTTCCCGCAGACATACTTTCTGGTCGTACAATAGTGGACATTCTCCCACACGTGATATCATTTCTTTTGTGTAATATACTGTGCGTACTCTGGCGTGTCCCCTCCTTCGTGTGTGTTCAGTTCCTGTATTGACCCGTAGAGCAGCAGCGTACAGCGGATTGCCTATCTAGTTTACCAGAATGGGCGCAACAGTTTTCATTAGTTGCAGCATGATTCAGAACGTGGTAAAATTTCTCCACAATGGTGAAATGCAGCAGGAAATCATAGACGAAAATATACTCACAGCTCAAAAGAATACTAATGTAAATCCACATCCAATTATTACCTTGTTAATTCAGTATATTTGTAAAAGGAAGCCTTTTTTAGTTTATTATATTTTTATAATTAGTTAGAACTATCCTTCTTTGATAAAGTATTTGTGTACATCTATCATCTATTAAGTACACCCCCCGCCTCGTCGTACTGTTCGTTCGTCCCATCTTGTCAACCCTGTTTATCTCTACCGTTCAAGTCGTTCCGAATAGCCTCCCTCGCCCGGCGAAACCCAGCCACAGCGCTACCAACCGCCAACACTGCCCTATATTGCGGGTTTCCAGGAACACATTGAGAGGTAGAACAGAATTTCTGTAACAGTTTGAGACACTTCCCTACGCCATTTTTCGGCTGCCCAAAGTGTTCGTGTAAACGAACGAGATTTGGGAACATATTGGTCTAGTAATTCCGAAAGTTATTGTAGAATAAATACACACACGTACATACCATATACATTACGTTTTAAAGTTTATTTTAAATTAAAATATTGAAATCATTAATACAATAATTGCAACAAATAATTATTTTTTCTCAATATTTATTAGAATTTCATTAAAAATATTTTTTGATCAGTTTCAGCGATTGAACAAAAAAATGTAAACATTTCACTTATTACATACCTCTTCATTTCCCCTACCATCCAACGACAAATTTTGCTCATTTCCAGAGGAACGTAAAACAACATTCATCCTCCCGCCGAAACTTTCGGTCTCAAACTTTAACAGAATAAAACCTCCGAACTCGCAAGTAGGCCAAGAGGACATGGGATGGCAACGAAGTGCGGATTCCGCTGCGGCAACGACGCCCTCCGAGGATCGAGGTCAATCGTCGACTCCGCCGTTCGCGGGAAATCTGGTCAGGGCAAGCGCATGGACACTCCCACCCGCAGAACCACAACCCTTCGCTCCAAAGTCTCTGCAGAACAAGGCCGAGTAATTAAAACAGCAAGGAATACTCACACTGTCATACCCGATAGACCGAACGATACATTCCGCCATTGCAATACCTTGACAAGAGATACGAGACTCGAAAAATCAAAGAGTAAAACAAAAATAATTTGGTGAATAGTTTTAGACCTTTTTACCTAAATGGAACAAAACAAAATGGAATCCAGAAAGAAGTGTATCATATATCCTAAGAGTGAACCAAAAAACCCTTCTCTTCAATTACCGACAGTACTGAGTAGACGTTTTTTTAAACTTTCCTTACAAGTATTCGGAAACTTGCAATGACGGAAGGCTCAGACAACGCTTACGTCCTATGCCTAAAGCTATACCTACTGAATGAAAGATGACAAATTAGCGATTAAATTGAACTTTTACTTTCTCGGAGACCATTTTTTTAATTTCTATATGTATAGACATTCATTGTGAGATACGAGGCCTAGTGATATAACAAAATAAACCTCATTTGAATGTTATTTCCAAATTTACTTTCATCGACTGGCAACATTTTTTAGAACATCAACGTTTAGTGCACATTTCCCTATTTATTTTGAGTATTCAGACAATTACTTAAATAGCTGCGCAATCCGTAATATTGAACATTTTATCAACAAATTAAGAAAATTGGATTAATTACTGTCGGCTTTTCTTCTACAGCGATTCCATCCCAGCGGGCCACTGACTCAGCCGCATCCTCCACAGACCGAACTAATACCACTCCACGTTTCCAATCCAACCCTTCGGGGAAATTCTCGCGAGCGGCGGCGGCGGCGGCAAACGCCGAAGAGCACGACGCGGGAGGTAATCCGAACAGCGTGCTTGTAAGGGCTCGCCAACCCGGGCGCGCTGCTGTAGCCGTCATCAGTTAACGAATAGCCCGCCGGGCGGCGCCGCCGTCGCCCCGAGCCGAGCCGCGCAGCGGAGCGCGGGCACCCCGCCAAGGCGCGACGGCGCTCAATGACTCGGCGATGACGATGATGGAGTACTCGGAGAGGAGAGAGAAGAGAAGAGGGGATGATATTGGGCAGTTTGGGTGAGGGAGAAAGAAAAAGGAGAGAGCTGGAAAAAGAGATGAGAGAAAGTCGATAGGGAAAGGGCGGGCAAACGTTATGTTCGGGGGAGAGAATAGGGAAGAGAAGAATATTATTTTCACGAGAGACCTCCTACAGCAAAAATGCTGCTGACCAAATCACAACAAATTGTTGTTTGGAAAAGTAGCACGCACACTGCTCACGAACATCAAGAAACAGTCTTCACAAGTACTGCGACAACCTAGTGTATAACCTACAGTACAAAAGTTCTTTACATACCAAAAACATTTTTTTAAACGTGACTGCGACACGTGAATAGAAAATATTTAATAACTTTCGGCCTCTTTCTTGAAGTCTTGCTGTCGCATGACGTCAGCTGTGTCGCAAGCTGTGATGCACTGAGAAAGAGTATTCAGCCGGTACGTGCTCTATGAGAATATGCGGAATAACACATGGAGTGCTTGCATTTTTCAGTCAAAGTCGGAGCACGTTGCTTTTGTTTTCGTCCGAGTATCTAACGATATCAGTGACACCTATCTCATAAACGGAGGCAGCATAGCTTTCAATCAATTTATTCTTTTATTCTAAATCGTTAATGTATATTATTATTGTTACTTATCAGTAGCAGTTGCAACGTACTGAATGGTTCTGCGCAAGGCAGATGATGAATTCTGACGACTTCTGGCGCCCCACGAGAGGAAGGGGAAAGAGCAGTAGGAAGGGCAGGGATGAGCGAAGAGAGCAACTGGGGACAGGAATGAACACGTTAGTGATGAGTGGAGATTGTAAACTAGACGAAGTAACGGATGAAGGAGGGGGAAGACAATATGAGAAGAGTTCGAAAAAAGAAAAGAGAAGAGTTCGAAAAGAGGTAGAAGAAGGAGAATAGGTGGTGCTGATGAAATATAAATAGAGGAGAGGGCGAGAACGGTATAGGGTGTGAGGGGTGATGTAACGGAAGGGTGAACAACGTAGAGGGAAAGAAGGAAGGGAATGAGAGAGAAGCGGTAAGGTAACGGAAGAGATTACCGACAGAAGTGTCATATGTCAAGAGCGGAGCGCTCACCGAAATGGACGGCGAACGAGCCGACTGCTGAAATCAAAGCCCTAATGGGAGATGGCTGGTGGGGAACTCCGTTAGGTAATCTGACCGCGGTATCGAGCGGTAGCCGAGTTATAGGCACAGCCATGATCCATTTCCCGTCCAATGAATACGCTTACTTAGTGCAGAACACACGCACCATCTGTATTGCGCGATATCAGCAACGACATAGCAGTTTTGCATAGGTACGT